GATTTTTAGGTTAAAAATAAGGCATGAACTCCCAGTCGTTTCTGGAAATTTGCAATATCTAAACTTGTCACTCGAAGTAAGGAAATGACCTTTTGCGTCTAAATAGGGTTTTAGCCTTATTAAGGCGAATTTGCAATATCTCTCTAAATATACCTACCTATCCTTCCTTAATTTCGCGTAAATCAATTGAAGTGTTTCTCTAATGTTTGTGTTGATATGGGCGGGCCTTTTCTACTAACTCCCAATCGTACTAGAGGTTGTAAGACTTTAAAGGCATACTTATGTCAGTTATGTCTATTTGTATGATTAACACAAAAGCCTTACATCTTGAAGTCACTTCAGATCTGTCTTCAGAGTCATTTTTGGCGACTTTACAGCTTTTTATCTCCAGTCGAAGAAGGGTTGTGAACGGACATCTACCTACCTACAGTGACTGTTAATTTTGTTGCCAGCAACAAATATAAGTATTAGAGTAGGGTAGAGTGGGGGAATACCGGACCTTTAGGGTAAATCTAGAATATCTCGGAGATTTTATGATTTAAAGGGAAACTAGAAGATTTAAAGTAAAGATAAAATGTTAGGGAACAAAATACATATTTATTAGGAAAAACAAAACATTTCCCGAAAAAATACATATTTTTCAAAAAAGGAAACATGAGTTACCGATATTACCCCTCAACTTGGGGCCGCAGTTACCCAGAATAATAATTACTGGCTAAAATCGCGTATGTAAATTTTCATTTTTACGCCATTCGTACATTCACTGTGAGCCTATCCTGAGCAAATCACACATCTTAGCCAAAGTTCCCGGTTTTTCTTAAATTCTCCGCAAACAATGCAAATGTCCTCATTAACTTCGTCTTGAGTTTGTTTTACTAATATCAAAAAAGCATCATTTAGCTCAGACAAAACAGGATCATGAAGCCTTTTATTGTCGGAATTCTTCTAATTAAAAGCAAATAACAAAATAACAAATCTCAAGCAATATACGATATAATTCTCCTAATTTTAAAAGTAGCTACTTCTGAGGATGTGCGTGTCGAAACAAAAGGCCTGGATTCGTCGTAACAATCACTAATGTCAACTTCCAACTTATTACAAGGAAGTATGTCAGAATGCTGCCACGGATGCCCCGCCCACCATAAGGGGAGATTTATCAACTTGGTGGGTAAGAGACCACAAGATGCGCAATCAGCAGGGTTCTCTTTATAGTGGAAATATGCCAAAATATTTTGAGAAACTTTCGATTGTATATGTGTAACACGGTTACTTACAAAAATGTTTCTCTTGTAAAGGGAGGACTTCATTCAAGCTATAACCGTTTTAGAGTCACACCAACCATATATCTCCGCGAAGACAAGTTTAGAGAAAGAAGTAAGAATTTATGATATTAAGTTGGACAAGAGCATTGCCCCACACAGCTCCAAACAAGGAACTGGAATTCTCTTCAATGGAGACATCTTAGATTTCGCGCAAACTAGTGAAATAGCAGGAGCCCTATTTTTGCTCAACAATCGAAAGTAGACCACTACTGCGTGCCCTTTCTCGCTCCTATCACAAACCCCGTGAAGCTCTACTGAGTGATAGGCACTCGAAAATACTCTTCGTGAAACACTAATAATCTTTAATGTGCGTAATTCATTTTGAAATTGCAACCAACGATTTCCGACTTTTTGAGGAACAGATTGGTCCTAATCTATGCCCAATACCCATAAATAGGTACTGTATGAGATATTTGGCAAAAAAAGATACTGGGGCTATAAAACTCAAAGGACCGAAAATGCGTGCCAACTCAGAAAGGATGCCTCTTTTTGTCGCGGCATTATTAAGTGTATGAAAAGGTGTCTAATGTAGGTAGCCACGATAAACCTAAAATTTTTATACCACAATCGCTATTATGAAAAGAATGAGGCTAGCAGTCTGAGGGAGGCACTGCTTCTAGAATAGCTGGGTGATTAAAAACCCATTTATGTAGTTCCAGCCCATTCCGACCCAATAATTGAATAAGGTCTGCTTGTAGGCGTAGAGCTGACGCAATAGAATCTGACCCAGTGACCAAGTCATCAAAGGAATCTGATTTTAAAGCTTGAGAAGCATCAGGGTATTTAGTTTTCTGATCCTCGGCGATTTGAGCAATAGTGCGGCGCAAAGCCAGAAATGGGAAAGAAGACACTCCATACGTCACGGTCTTGAATAGGGTCATTTTAGACATTTTGTGAAAAACGCGAAACTAGCCCGAGGGCCTCTGGCCCGAGGGATATATTTCGCCTGAACGGCATTATAATCTTAAAATCCCCGTGGTGCATACAAGGCTTTATTTTCTACTCAACACAATGTTCTTTCATTAATTTATTATTAACAAAATCAGTTAAACTTGTGCGACAGAATATTGTTTTGTATTTTGACATGTCCCTGTACCTGTACCTGTGACCTGTACCTAGAAACGAAATAAATTAATCTAATATATAAAATTCTCATGTCACAGTTTTAGTTACTTTCGTCTTCCGAAACGGCTTTACCAGTAGGTCTGAGAATAAGTTTTAAGCTATTTTTTATACCCCTAAGTGATAAGGGTGGTCCACCCCAAAAAAATTTAATTTTTTCTTGCTTCTCACCACTACATAACTTATTTTTGTTTGTTCCATTCAACCGACGTAACAGTATTATCTTATAGCATTTTCGGCTTTACTGCTCCCAGAGCGCTCTCTATTTGTGCGGTGACGTCACAGATCTCTGCGGAAGTGCTCCGAGAGCGATTATGATCCAAGCGAGGCACCCTATTTGAAATCAATAGCCAAATGATGTAAAATTTTAATTTTAGGTGATTTCTGATCCAGAGAGTAAACATTAGTTTCCAAGGCCAAATTCACCACTGAATTTAATTTATCTACAAGATACGTTAACACAACATTTAATAGGTATTTAATAATTCATAGGCGGTACGAAGTTCGCCGGTTTAGCTAGTAGGTATATCTATATAAATATCTCATAAGGCAAGGCAACGGATGGTGGTCGTGTGGGTTAACGCGCTGAACTACATGGGAAACGTTGATGGTAGACTGGGTTTGAATCCTGGCTAGACCTAAAATTATTTTCCGTCAAACATTTAGCGGCTGCCTAAGGTAAAGAGCAAATTAATAAAACAACAACAAGAAAAACACCTCAGGGTATTATAAGCGGGCATTATGGATCAGGTTGTTATAGGTATGTTAACGTATTTGGTTTTCTAGGTATTATGGATCTATACATAATAGTAAAGTAGAAAATAAATAATAATATGCTTTGCTGAAGCTTAGGGCCAACTTAAAGAGCAACGTTCAGTGAAAAAGAAGTAGTGCAGCGTCTTTAGCACTTGCATCGAACACTACTCTTAACTTTGTAGTGGTACTATCTGACTTAAAAATGCAAAAGTGTGCGATAAAATAATCTTGACCACTCGAGGACCCTTGGACCCTACCTTGAATAATTCCAATGACATATGACCACTGTCCATATAATCTTGCATACATTTCGGACAGGCGAAATGCAAAGGGAGATTTTTCAATAAACGCTGCTCTAAGGAGCGGAACAAACCTTCGCAGAGCAACATCTGGAATCCACAAAATGGGGATCATTTTGTTTAAATGGCAATGAAACAACACACCTAACATTTGATTCAATGCAAGTTATCTCAGAACCTACTTATATATTTATTCACATAAAATATCTTCGTCTGACGGCAAAACTTCAGCTGGAATTTCCTCAATTTCCCAGAACTTTTTTATAGCCACATCTAGGGGTGGTAGTAATGTACGAACATCTGTAAGGTAAATATCAGTTTTTCCCGTAATAACCCAACCAAATATAGTATTAAGTATTAAGTGCGACTGAACTAGCTTCCTGAGACCACCCTCAATTCTCCCTTCATACATGCAGCAACAAAAGGAAACAGGTCTGCCCCAAGCAACATATCAATCGGAGCAGGTTAATTAAATTTCTCGTCAGCCAACTTAAAATTTGCTAAATGTGAAAAGTTTTCCAGTGAAATGAGTTGCTCTGGAAGATGAGAACAAATTTTGGGAACTGCCACAACCTCAACATTAAACGTAGATGAAGGGTCACCAATGGGACTAATGATAGAACAGGCTAATACTTAAGAACTTGTGGAAATTTCACCTAAACCATAAATAGGGAGGTGAAAGTTTTTAGGAGGTAAGCCTAATCGTATAAGCTGAACTGTAGGTCAAATTGCTTAACAGATTGAGCATAATTTTTTTTCAATTAATAAATTAATATAAAATCCCAATGGGGCACAAGAAATATCAGATTTTCCATTGCTTTTAGATGTTCATTAAAAATGTCCAACAAATGTATATGAAAAAAGGCCACCGATAATTCGGTCAAAGGTTCCAAATGTACGAGCTAAATGGCTGTATTTTTAAAAATTATCACAAATCGATAAATGGCAAAACCAATAAAGGACTTACCCCGAAACTGCATGGATTTTATTTAAGCACTAAAAATAATTGATTGCCAGCAAAAATTATTCTCCCTTTTCGGACAGCAACAGCACCTCTTCTCAGTCTTCTGGGCTATTGAATATTTGTCCCCCTTCCAGTTCTTTCAATCAAGGGCGCACGCTTGCTCTGTTTTACGGTACCGCACGAGAGTCCATAGAAATGCCATTCTCATGCGCAATTAAGTATGTATTGAAATATAAACTTTGAATTCAAGACATATATACAAGTTGTGTTTAAATTACCCAAAATTACAATACGAACATACCCAAATAAGAACATTTATTGAAATGATTTTCTCTGGAAGCAAATACGCAAATAATTGTAACCCAAAGTAAAGTATCTATTTTAAGATGACATTCTTCCCTGTTTTTGAGAGATTTATGGGTTTAAAAGTGGAAATGCAGTGTTTTTCTCCTGGTAAACTCTATAGGTATAGATAAAAAAACTAAATAGCCCAGAAAGTCTTGATAAATTACGGTTTTTGAGAAAACTCCAAAAAAATTACGTAAAATGTTTTAATCAGATTCTTCTTTAAATATTACAATTTTTTGTTTATTGAAATAAAAAATTTAAAAGCATTACATCAATAAATGTAAGATTTCCAGGTGTAAGTTATCATTAAATAACAATTGATAAATAAAGTAGAAAAAAAAAGTAATAATAACTTAAAAATTGGTACGCCCTTAAAATTAACAAAATAATAATATACAACTAATTATCATAGTCTTCGTCGATACAAAGATTATCTCCAGTCAAAGTGCAGGCACTGGAACTATTAGTAGAAAGTGGCACCAGAGAAGGCACAAACGGAATTTCCTCCTTTGTTTCCTCTTTATGGCCGATCAGACTATTAACTGTGAAATTGAACTTTGGATTTTCTTGTTTGGGTACGAACTGAATTACACCGGGCGTTCTGGAACCGCTACTACTGCTCTGTTCCGCTTGCGGGGTATTTTTTCGTCTCTCTTTTGGCGGTGGTAGTTGAGCTTCTAATGGTAACGCTGCAAGATCGTCGGGTATTATTCCGAAATTGACGTTGGAATCTGCAAGGGCATTGTTTTCGTTGTCCTCTTGAATACTTGCGTCTGGTATATTTTTTACTAGATCTGCAATGAAGTGAAAATTGATTAATTAGAAATATGTATAATGATAATGTAACAAAACAGTCTATTATGTTTCTCGTTGAAAAAGTATTATAAAAAAAAAGGAAATAAAGTTTTTGTAAAATGGTTAGTTGATAAATCTTTTAACAGTTGGATGGATAATAGCCAAAGTTAAAAGGTAACAAAACACGACTTTATATATTTTTTCAACGTAGTGGGGAACACAAATAACCCAATACGTCATATTCTTTTGCGAATTCTTTTTTTTTGAACTTTAATGCTAAGGGAAAATATCTTCATCATTGAATAGTTAAATTTTTTTTTTCACGATAATAACAATATCTTAATCATAATAATTTAAACATTGCGCGACTTTGACCTTATTGGCCTAATTCAACCGACCTCGTATTTTTTATAATAACCGAGATCCCTCTGATTAGAAAAATAGACACGCTATACTTTGGAACTTTGGTATGATCCTGTATGTTCTAAGTTTGTTTCCACATGTGTCATAATTGTAGTGTTTTTTTTGGGCGTAGATATGGGGGGAGGGGGGTAGAGGGGGTAATTACCCCCCCAGGATCTGTATTTTTTCAGGTAAATTAAAAAAAACTAATATTCTATTATATGAAAAATATTGGGGGTTGCACAGCTAGCTTCTAGAATAAGTATACATTTATTTTTTTCTATTTTGGTGTCATATCGAAGTCTTTTCGACACTTAAAGTAGTTTCGAAAAGAAGCTCCTTTTTTACTTATCGGAGGTTGGTAACACTAGCTGATTGATGGCCATTGAACTGTCATTCGCGATAAAAAATAATAGAAGATTTCTATATTTGGCATGTAGTGTTGCCAACCTAAACATATGAAATCAGGAAATATGAGAATGAAATTTCCAAGAAAAGTTTGTTTTTTTTCAATTAAACAATACCAAAATAGAAAAAATAGTATAAAATATTCGTTTCATAAGACATTTCATCGCACTCGCCCTTTAGAAAACTCGCCTCCGGCTCGTTTTCTAATATAGGGCTCGTGCGATAAAATGACGTCTTATGAAACTTGTATTTTAATGTACTATTAAAAAAATGTATTATCTAGTAGGTACTGGATTCTGTTGATAAAAACCGTGTTGCCCCAGTTTTACACTAACACTGAATCAGTTTAAGTTTAGTACATTCCCAGAAGAACATGAATTTGGCCATTACCACCATTCTGTTGTTTTTTTTTTTCGATCTGCATTCGGCTTACGTACAGTCATGAGTATAAAAAATGGTACACCCTATTTTTCCTATTTTAAAACGAGCTCACCAGCTACACCGTCGGCAATGACAGGGATTGTCATATTTGACAAAAATCCATTGTACAGAAAAGACTGATTTACCCAAAATAGCGAAAAATGATGAGACCTGTCAGTCGGGTGACCCACTTTTTGTGCTCACGGCTGTACCGGGTGATTGTGTATATTTTGCACCCACACCTATCTCACCTGTTTGAAGAAATACCCAGAAATGTCAAATGTGGAAGTTGTAGGTAATATCAGAAACTTTGCGATAAAATTAGCTACAAGTATACAGGAAGTGTCACGAAAGTGTGGCTAATCAAAGTTATACTTTTTTAAATAGAACACCCCACATATTATTGACCTATTGGATTAGCCTGTCAAACCTGATTTCGAATATACTAGTTTTTTTCAGGTTTACTCATAGTCCAGAATTTTGAAGAAATAATATGGATTTTTCACTCAAATGATTACCTTTATATTTTGTTGGTGGCCTCTATATTTCACCCTTTTCAATAAAAATGCAATTATTCCACGCCTTTTTTTCTTATTTTCTGCCGGACTATTAGGAATAAACTTAAAAAAAAACCTAGTATATTTGGAATCAAATCAAATAAAATCAAAATAAGCTTTATTGTCAGAAAACCAAAGAGAAAAAAAGTCTTATTGACAAAGCAAATACTTAAAAGCTAGATTATGTCTAGGATTACAATAATTTTCAATAATGAACACGACACAAGCATAAATAAAATGTAAAAAAAATTAACAAACAAATAATGAAAACAAACGCTGAAAAATTAGAATCCGTCCCTAAAATCCAATGACGTATAGGCAAACATTTCGAAACATTAGAAAAAAAAATTAAAATAAAATAAAATAAAATCAAAATAAAGTCAAAATAAAATCAAAATAAAATCAAAATAAAATAGAAATAAAATAAAATAAAATAAAAACTAGCAGGCACCGATTGACACAAGTTAAAACAATAGGCACATTTAATTTTCATAAAATTCGCCAATACTATAGTATGCCTTGGCGACTAGATGGTTCTTTACAAGCTTTCTAAAATTTTCATAAATACCACTATTCTTAATTTCCTCAGGCAGATGGTTGAACAATTTAATACTCTCATAGATAATGGACTGTTTTGTTAAGGCGTACTTTGGTATTGGTGAGGGTAATTTGACTTGACGCAGATTATAACTGCTATTCTGTACAAACTCACAGATTCCAAAACAAAAATACAAGGCAGGTTTGAAAAGCTGATCCAATGGGATATACTGGGTATTCCATTTAAAAAAGTATAACTTTGCTTTGCCACACTTTGGTGACACAACCTGTATACTTGTAACTAACTTCATTGAAAACTTTCTGATATTACCTAAAACTTTCATATTTGACATTTTTGGATATCTCTCCAAACAGGCGAGATAGGTGTGAGTACAAAATATAGACAATCACCCGGTACTTCTTCAGAGCTCACTCTGCGTATGACGTCACGATATCCATGCTCATACTGTTCCGCTCCGTGGAGCGCAAAGCCGAACAAACTGCATTATTAGGCAACCAATCCATCTGTCAAAACGGAAAATTCAATCATGGTACGCGAACTTGCATTGAACGATCCTGGCGACTTTTAATGTGCCCCAAGCCGCTCAGGGGCGCGCATGTTCATTACTGGTAATCGCTTTTAGTGAACGCCTTTGGATGTTGACGCTATCAGCTGTCATACTGGTCGGTCGGTTGTCAAACAATTTTTAGTTTGTCAAACTTTTTATGAATCATTTTCATTAGTTGTAGTGTTTTTACTTCTACCCAGTTTTAGTTCAGGTAAGTTTTATCTTTATCATGGCGTCAATCCCATCGGTAATGAAATTGATGTGAAGGCAAACAGAAAAAGTTCAATTATTATTCAAATATGTACCTAAATAAAAATATTATAAGTCCAACGATTGACAGACACGAGTTTTATTCTCCAATCTTATCCAAAAAACGTTTTTCGCGTTGACTAGATAAGTCTTGGTTATTACATATTATATTTATTCCTAATAGTCCAGGAGTTGGCGCCAAAAACATGCAAGAGTTTTCGCAAGGCGGATATTTTCAAAATAGGTCGTACTTTAGTGCTAGAATGCTAGTGTACAGTCAGCACTCACAGTTCCGGGACAGCTGGCTCTGGGACGCGGGCAAAGTTGTAATTTTAAGAAGCATCTAAACTGTTTTCTCAAAGCTCAAAATTTATAGAAATTTTGCACATTATCTGTTTGAAGGTCACAGATAACGTATGTAAATCGTCAGACGTCTAGTTCGTTGCAAAAAGGGGGCCAGACGTCCTCAAAGTTTTTATTTTATGGCATTTTCTTCAAATATATTTGTCAAATACCTGCAAAAATATATTTTGACAGGACACCGAAAAAAATGCCATAAAATAAAAACTTTGAGGACGTCTGACCCCCTTTTTGCAACGAACTAGACGTCTGACGATTTACATACGTTATCTGTGACCTTCAAACAGATAATGTGCAAAATTTCTATAAATTTTGAGCTTTGAGAAAACAGTTTAGATGCTTCTTAAAATTACAACTTTGTCCGCGTCCCAGAGCCAGCTGTCCCGGAACTGTGAGTGCTGACTGTACACTAGCATTCTAACACTAAAGCACGACCTATTTTGAAAATATCCGCCTTGCGAAAACTCTTGCATGTTTTTGACGCCAGCTCCCCAACTATAATAATCAGGGATAAATATAATAACTAATGTTAAATCTGCTCCAGGCCTAAAAAGATCATCCACAAAGAAAGTTTCAAATTCAAATAAACTTAGCGGCAGATGAAGTGGGACACCCGAAAAATTGCCTAATTTTGACTTGCTATAACTTCGACATTTCTTTGCCGATCTTGGATTATCAGGCAGGGTTACAAAGCGCCATCTTTGGTCTATGCAGGGACACTTTATCCGTTAGGACAATTAGGTCATGTCCTACGGGCTACAGAGGATGGGAGGCCAACTGCTGGCCTTTCCTTTAATTTATAATATAAAAGCCCACTATATTAAAAACATCGACTTGTTTAGTAGCAGGACTAGCACATATTTCAATACTCTTTAATTCTTAAAATTCACACTGCACAAGTACATTTGGCTTGGCCAGATTGCACTGCCTGACGTCACGATGCTCTGAAATTGCTCCGCTAGCTCCATCGAGCATCAATCGGGAACACACCCTAAAGTCACTGAGCTGCGCTGAATCGCCGTCGCGTCATTAGAGCAGCACAGGCACATGGCAACAACTACAGCAGGAACCTGTTAGTGTTAGTGTTTGCGCTAAGCCATTTGTTTCGTCTGAGGGCCTGTTTATCAATAGAGAGTTACCCCATAAGTTAGGGATAACCCTGGGTCAAGGTTGTGACAAGTGTTTATCTATCCAGGGTCAACTGCTACCTCGAAAGTTTTTCCAAGAAAAAGTTAAACCGCGCTCTCACGGCAAGTTAGCGTATTTGACCCTGGGTTATCCTCAACATTTTCTGTTATTTTTTGTCTGCATTTTTTTGAATGTTGTGGTTTTGACTTAAATTTTGAAATTCTGAAGAGATGAAGGACCAAGATTTCAGTGTTGATGATCGAGATGTTCTAGAATTTCTAAAACATGAGCGACACCCCTACCAGGTAAGGTTGAAGTCAAATCCCTAATCCCTTTGACAATTTTGATGACGTCGGCGAGTTTTCGCTTACGAAAAGAAACAATCTTACTTGTTCTAGAACAAATCGAAAATCGAGCATAGACTCGAATTCCCAACAGACAGGTACCACGTAAGTACCTACCTATGCTTCTGGTTTTTTCTCTCAGACATTTTCTTCTCTTTGAAACAAAACAACATATTTCCACACAGAATAGGTAAGTACGCGATACCGAAATTTTCGTTACGGAGACAAAAAATACCATAAAAAAGTAAGGTTATGAGCAGAAAATGTCGAAAAATCGACAAAAGTGAGCTGGCAACGTTGCATAAGTAATGCCAACCTTCAAAGAACCCGAGAGTTTACAAGCCCTGGGTTGAAAAAGCTTAGATAAACACTTTTCGAATTGAGTAGGCACCTAGTTAAGTTAGCCCATTAGAGTTAGAGTTAGCCCAGGGCCAGCAAACTCTGCGAGTTATTCCTTGATTGATAAACCGGCCCTAAATGATTTTGTAACGAAATTGAATAACCACCGAGTCCAGACCTGCCCGACTCTGTCAGGTGCTGCCCCCTAACGCCGGAGAGAGTACCAGCTCGGAGAGGGAGACATTGCCGGGTGAACGAGAAAAATTCGATTACTTTTATTCTGGATGTTCACAGTCCTAAAATATAATAATTAAGTTAGTTTTTGCTTATTTTTTCACAGCAACTATCTATTTTCAAGTGTAAAGTTGACAATAGAGTGATGTAAAATTATCAGTGGTGTTTCCTTTGGTCGGATAAATACAAATTCTTCAGTTTAACCTCAAACCCCTTATAAATTGGCGCTCCAACTCGTGGCCTGAAGAATGTGTATGGAATTCCGCTAACAAGTTACTGCAGGTATTTTGATTATTGCTATTCGAAACTTTATATTTCTGCTGCCTTTTGACACTGTGTAAACAGTTCGACAGCCAAAACCTGTTGCAAGTATTTTATGATTTTTATAAATATTCCGATAATCCTATTTTGGTTTTGTTCTGACACTGCATCACAGCCCTGTGAATCACAGTTCGACTGCCAAAAACTTGAGTTATCCTTTTATTATTTGTTCAAGCGTAAAGTGTAGACACTGTTTTGCAGTTCCACTTCTACAAACCTAAGTTGTTGTTTACAATTCACAGCACTCTATTTTACAGTGCAATATTGAACTTTATTGGACTATAAACCCCAAAGTGATTTTATAAGTAGTGTTTTTGTAAACTATTGAAACCATTCAAAAACTTTTCGTGTTCGCGAAGAACAGGGCTGGACTTCAAGGCCCTGGCTGTCAGGTCAAAGCTGGATTGAGCAGGTTTTGACTTGATAGTTTCGTTCCGACCACACAATTGGATGATTTTGCGTTGAAACTCCAGAAACAGCCTCACAGGCCATAAACCAAATAGTTATGACTCCAGAAATTCTACAAAACCTTTTAAAAGGATTACAGCTACCAAATCCAGCACCAACGCCCATTCCACCCGCACCAACAAATGGAAACTTCTCCCAATGTTCAGCCAGGTTCGTAGGAAACCGAACTGAGAATGTTGATGCATTTATCGATTCAATAACTGTCTATAAGGAATTTTTATTTATATCCGATCAAAATGCAGTCAAAGGAATTTCAATGCTACTCGAAGGTAATGCTGCAACATGGTGGCAAGGCATAAAGAGCTCTATTACCACATTTGATGATGCTGTGCAATCCTTAAGACATGCTTATGGCTATGCTAAACCAGCTTATCAAATTTATAGAGAACTTTTTGCCCATGAACAGTGCCAAGATGAAACTACAGATATTTTTATAAGCAAGGCTCGAGCATTACTGTCCAAATTACCCAGTACTCCTGCAGTACCAGAAGAGGCACAACTTGACATGGTGTTTGGCCTACTACACCCCCAAATACGTGAAAAGCTCAACAGAGATTCCATAAAATCATTTCGAGAACTGATTGAAGCTGCTAGAAAAGCCGAACAAGCTGTTAATGACAGAAAGAAAATAAATAATCAAAATAAGGATGCCAACTCCTCGACCAACTCACGAAGACCTAGACCCCAGTGCAACTACTGTAAGAATATTGGTCACACTAAGGATGAGTGTAGGAAGCTTAAGAAAGCAAACACAAGCCAACAAGAAGAATCAAAACCGTCAGCAGAACCTACAAGTGAAGTTAAACCCAAACTTGTCTGTTATGGTTGTGCAAAAATTGGATTTATAAGAAGCAACTGCCCTGACTGCAAATATAGTTCTGCAACTAGTGCAAGCACTTTAAGTGCTGAATTTTTGTGTCAATCTATTGCACGAGAACAACAAGGACGACCCTTGCTATCCATTAAAATTCTCAATAAACAAGGTTTAGCATTGGTGGACACTGGAGCTAAATCGAACGTAGCCAGTGCTACACTGAGAAAAATATTTTTAGAAAATAATAAACCCTACCAGTTACAGCCTTTAATCATGACTCTTGCCGATGGAAAGGAAAGACTCGTAGAAGCCTATGTTTTCCATGATATTGAGGTAACATTGGAGCACAAAACAGTAACTACTAGTTTTGTATCTGTCGAAGAACATGAAAATAGCCGTACACTGCTTGGATTGGATTTTATTAAAGCAGCCCACATAATTCTAGACCTCTCAAGTTTCCAGTGGCAATTTAAAGACCAATTAGACCCGATATATGATTTTGTACCTGAAAATGACCTTTCTGTGTC